AAAATGGTACATGAATAAGAAGTGTAGTGTTCAAGTAAACCTGGAAAACATTGAGTATCAAGCTGTAGTTAAATGGATAAGCCATTGAGTATGTCACTTGGGGAATAAAGAAAAAGTAGGGTAATTCTAGGCTTGGCTAACTCACAGCTCGATTGTATTTTCACATCCTTGCCACATTTTTATTCTGCTCTTATTCGTACGCTGGGTAATTGCCTCAGGACTGCAAAATGACTAGAGTAAATGCAGTGTGTGTGTGTGTTGGGGGTGTGTGATTGTTTTGATGCAGTTGAGTTCATCTCTCTTTAAGAGCAAATAAACTTTCTCCGGAGTTCCCCAATAAACTTTTTCTGAAAATTTTTATTGAAATGTAGTTGATTTGCAATGTTATGTTAGTTTCAGGTATACAGCAAAGTGACTCAGTTCCACACACACACGCGTATTCTTTTTTAGGGTTTTTTCCATTACAGGTTATTACAAGATACTGAGAGTAGTTCCCTGTGCTATACAGTAGGTCCTTGTTCATCTATTTTATATACAGTAGTGTGTATTTGTTAATCCCAAACTCCTAACTTATCCCTCCCCCACCTTTCCCCCTTGGAAACCATAGGTTTGTTATCTATGTCTGCGGATCTATTTCTGTTTTGTAAATAAGTTCATTTGTATCATTTTATATGTGGAACCCAATAAACTCTTTTCTTTCATCTCATTATCTAGAACTGTAACCCATGCCTGTTTCTAAATCAGCCCTTGCCACGGAGGAAACTGGATTGGCTTAGACAAATGAGGAGAGACTCAATGAGGCTCAGGAGAGGTCCTGAACCCCTCACTCCTTTGGTGGCTGCCGATACCTGAAGAGAAGCAGATTTCAGTTAGGGGAGGAGGTGGGGGTGCTAGATGAGTAACCAGAGACTCTGACCTTGGCATGCAGTTGCGTCTGCAACAGTAGGGGAAATAAAGTTAGCCTTTTTTGTTGTTGTTGTTGTTAACTTGCCAGTTCTGATTTTCTTGACGTAAGGCTACATTTTTCAAGCCCTGGTAACCCCAAAGACAAATGTACCTGTGTTTCTCAGAGCCCTTAATAAGCTAACATACCTGATGACTCTTCAGGAGAGGGGTAAAACCTATAATGTTTCAAACATAATGAAATATTTCATTATTTAAAATACTGCACTTGTTTTTCAAGGCATTCTTTCTGAGATGAATGTCTTTATGAATGCAGGCTAGAAACTGCTCTCCTGAATTACTAGTCTGAACACGTTTCATAGTATATATTTTAGAATGGTCATAATGCCATCAAGATTGCCTTTTTAAGTACTCTAAAAAATAAGAGAAATTTGTAAAGTAGCAGGTTATAAAATTATTAGAAAACGAATTGCCTTATAACATAAGTGTAGTAAAATGTTAATGTAAGAATCTAGTTGGTGAGGTCACTGTAAAACTCTTTCAACCTTCCTCTGTATTTAAAATTTTTTGTGATAGAAAGTTGAATAATAATAAAACAACCACAACAAAACAAAGAATAACTTTTATGTATGCAACCAAAAACCAGAGGAAATACTTAGCAAAGAAAACCATATTTATAATAGCAAAACTAAGTAAAATACCAAGGCTCACTTTCCACGAAACACTCAAAACCTATGTGAGAAAAAATTTTAAAACACTACTGAAGGAAGCAAAAGTAGCCTTGAACAAATGAAAAGACACACGTGGGAATTCTCACTTTTGTAAAAATTTCTGTTCTGGCTAAGTTGATTAATAAATACAGCATAAACTCAACATCAAGTATTTTTTTTCTCTTCTCAAGATAGATTAGTAGTTAATAAAGCTCATTTGAGTAAATAAACAAAAGTCAACATAAAATTTGAAAAAGAAGGAACAATTATGGTGAGAGAGGGGCTAACTCTACCAGTTATTAAAATACGTTATAAAGAGTTTATAATTGAAGCTGTACTGTTGGCCCACGAATAGACAAACCAAACAGTGAAACAAATTTTAAAAATCCAGAAATACATCTAGCTATGCATGGAAAACTAAATATATAATAAAGGAAGCACTTCAAATCAGTGAGAAAAGATGAACTGGCATATAACTAGGAAGCTATATGGAGAAAGCTAAAATTTTGATTCTTCATACCAGAATGTATTCCAAGTGGATGAAATATCTAAGTTTAAAAAATAAAATTATACAAGAAGAAAACACGGATGGAATATTCTGTAGCCTGGGGTGGGAGCATTTTTTCAAACCATGATTGAAAATCCAGAGCAATAAGAAAATAAATTGATAATTTTTTTTAGAAGAACATCTTTTAATCTAATATAATTTTGTTTGGAAAATACCTAAAGTGAGTAAAAGAAAAATAACCAACTAGGAAAAATATTTGCAACTTAACCTCAAAGACTTAATATGCTTAATTAATAAAAAGCTTTTAAAAGTAGAGAAGAAAATGACCAAATTTTTATAAAAACAGTTTGCAGAAAAGAAATACAGTAGCTTTCAACTGTATGCAAAGATGTTCAACCTCCCCTATAGTAAGAAAACTGCAAATAAAAATAGACTGTGGTAGCATTTCTCACCTAGCTGACTGACGGAAATCCAAGTTTGAGGACATACTTGGTTGTCAAAGTTGTTGGGAAATGAACACTCTCTCTCTTTGCTGGTGGGAGAACAAAATGGTACAAACCCATTAGAGGGGAATTGGCCAGTATTTAGCAAAAACACATACAGATTGACTCTTGAACAAAGCAATCCCGTTTCTCAGAATAAATCACCAAAATATTCCGGTAAGAATTGAAAACACATATATGCCAAGGCTCCTCATTACACTACATTTTTAGACTGTTGGTTAGACATTTATTCTAAGAATGTTATTTGTGTGTTACGGAATCAAGCAAATAAATAGTTAGAATGGTGTCATTAAGAACCAGGATTTTCCTCATGAAAACAAAAATGAGGTAGAGGTGTAGGAATGTCGAGTTAAGTACAAATCCTGTAGTCCAGAATTTGAATTCAGAGTAGCAGTATGGATTCATGATGGATTTTATCTTTTTCAAAAAAGATTCCTGCTCCAGACACGCTGAAAAGGCCTAGACCCAATGAAGAGCAGTGAGCACCAGGTTGATTGGTACTTGAATGAGATACATACAAAACAAAGAACTGTCTGCCGTTTGAGATATTAATGTGTGCTCTGAAAAGGAAAATATATGAATTCACGTAATTTGGGGAAATTCTGAACTTCCTTCTTGGAAATCATACTTTATGTTATATTAAATACTCTGAAACAGTCTCTCCGTAAAGAAACCTAATAACGTTTAATACGGTGGCTGTCGGGAGCACTTCGTTTTGCAGGAGAAGGGACAGGGGTTGTAGGATCCCTACTGTTTCTTTCCTACACAAATGTGTCATAGAAAACAATCTGGGAAAGATTGCTGCGAAAGTGAAATTCAATCTGTGGTTAATTATTTGTCATAGAGGGACAAGAGGTCTAAAGAGAGTTCCTGGTATTACCATGTACTTAACGGATGCCTAATTTAATACAAGTATTGTTCAGAATCTACCAGATATTAAATGCTGTGTTCAGTGCTGGAGATATTAGGAAAAAAAAAAAAAAAGAAAGAAAGAAAAGGAAAGTCTAGTAGAGCATTAAAATCTAGTGATAATTTTATAATAAAGATTTGAAATGTTTTATGAAAATCTTTAATTCTGATCAAGAAGCTAAGTGTAAGCCACCACCGGATTGTGCCACGGGGACAGAGTTAAGTTATGATGGGCCAAAGCAAGGAGGGATATTTCTGGCAAGACAAGGGGCATGACTGAAGATAATTAACGTTAGAGCTGATGACGTTTACGGGAAAAATAGCCATACTTGTCTGGAGCAAAAAATATATATGTTTTAAATTCTAGGAAAAGGGTGAGGTAGGACCCATGAAGTGAGAGAAATGTTGGTTTGGGGTTCTGATAAACCTGGGCTGTCATCTGCTCTTCCCATACACGACCTTCGGAAGGTGATTTAATTTCTGTAAGGCTCGGCTTTCCCATCTGTATAATGAGGACTCATAGTATTTAACTGACAAAGTGAGGATGAAATAAAAATCATGTATATAAGGCTTCCAAGACAGTGGAGGACACGTCATCACTGCCGGTTCTCACTGTTGTTAGGCAGATAGGAACAAAATGATGAACACCCTCTGTTGTCAGGGGAAAGGCTTTGGATTTCATTTTGCGGGCAGTGGAGAACCACTGAAGAATTCTGAGCACGGGGGTGAAGTGATTAGCTCTGTGGTTTGGAAAAATGAACGTGGAGGAATCACTAGATGAAGAGAGACACCTAGCATTGTGTCCTGATGGGAGATGAGAAAAGCATAAATAGGGCATTGGTAGTGTGGCCAAAACTGTTCACTGTTTCAGGTGAGGTTTTGGCTCTTCATTAGATATATGTATGTGGGAGCGTGGAGTAAGAGACAGGGAAGAATGAAAAAATGACATCAGGGTTTCCAGCCTGAGCATCAGAGTTGCCAGTAATACGCACAATTGAGACAGGCAACCCAGGAAGTAGAGCAGGTGTATAGAAGAAGGTAATGAGTTCAGGGGTGGTATTTCATTAGTTTTCTCTCATTTTCTTTTGGCGTATCACCTTTCTAGCCTAAGTGAGCTTTGAAGATTTGCACGTGGCAGCCCAGCTTCTAATCGCAGCAATCCCTTGGTTCTATGGGGCCACTATGTTTTGAATAGTGTGTTGGCTTATTACAAGGGCTTTTATTGTGATCCTTTGAAGTGCTGCTTCTGAAATTTATCTAATACATCAGAAAGGTTAGTGTAATGTGTTCCAAAGTCAAATTCCAAAAACTATCAAAGCAACCGAACATGGTAGCCAAACATGGATATGTGGCCTGCGTGACTGTACTCAAAGCATTGTTTTCTTTAAGCATATTTGAAAGTAAATGCAAATTGAGACATTCTACTCAACACCAATGTTTGTGTGTGTTTCTTGTTTTAACGTGCAGGACAGGAGAGAATTGGAAAAGATTCCACCTATGAGCAGGAGGGTAAAGTTCAGTTCGTGATTGACGCAGTGTATGCAATGGCTCATGCCCTTCATCACATGAACAAGGATCTCTGTGCTGACTACCGGGGTGTCTGTCCAGAGATGGAGCAAGCTGGGGGCAAGAAGTTGTTGAAGTATATCCGCAATGTGAATTTCAACGGTGAGTCTCCGTGTTTTCTTTCTTCAGGCTGACATGGGGCCTTTATATTGTAGAAAAGAACATCTAGGGCTTCCCTGGTGGTGCAGAGTCCGCCTGCCGATGCAGGGGACACAGGTTCATGCCCCGGCCCGGGAAGATCCCACATGCCGTGGAGCGGCTGGGCCCGTGAGCCATGGCCGCTGAGCCTGCGCGTCCGGAGCCTGTGCTCCGCAAAGGGAGAGGCCACTGCAGTGAGGGGCCCGCATCCCGAAAAAAAATAAAGAAAAGAAAAGAACATCTAGAGAATGCCACACAACCCTAGTATGTCTAAAATACTATATATAAAAATGACAAGCGCTCATAACGACATTGAAGCACTGAAAGATAACAATACTTTCTGAATCCAAGAAGTCAAATTATGCCCAGTATGGTGTTAACGTCCTTGTATACGTCAAAATTCTAATATTCTGACATATGGTAAACGAGATAACCAGAATATCCGATGATGTAACTTTGGGTGATACAGAACTTGGTGATATCCAAGTCTTTTGGCAATACAGCAACCAATTCATACTCATCCAGTATATATCCACCCAGATATTTCAGAATTCCAGTTTCTTGGTCAAGTGATTTGTTTTGCTTGAGTTCATTAAAAATATTTAGAGGTCTCAATTCCAGTCTCTTTTGGAATCCTAAGTGTTGACATTATGTGTTTCATAAGCTAAGCAGTCAGATTGCAATTTACTCTTGAGTATGTGAATTATAGCATTTCAAATGATTGAATCAATTATATGAATGAGTAGTGAGTGAGCAAATGAATAAATAAATTTGGGGGGGGTTATGGTTTGCCCTCTTTTTCTTAAAATAGAAGGACTTTTTCCAAGTTTTTTCTTGGTGAATGTAAGCAGGAATGGGAGGGGTTAAGAGGAAAAGGAAGGGACAGTTGCTCTAGGTACTCAAGTTAATGGAAGTAATGGTTGTAATTTTCCACACCAACCACATGTCACATTACACATTTATTTCTCAAAGCATAAAACTTGGGCAGAAAGTAATTGGTTACCTAAAATAAATGGGTAGAGATGAGTGGGAAATACAACCGGAGATTTATTTTAGGAATTGGCCGACACTGTTATAGAGACTGACATGCCCCATGATCTGCCATCTATAAGCTGGAGAATCATAGAAGCAGCGGTGTAATTCAGTCCAGGTGTACAGGCCTTGGGATCAGAGGGTTGATGGTGTAAGTCTTGATCTGTTTCTGAAAGCCAGGAGAAAATGGGTGTCTCTACTCAAGCAGAGAGAGTGAATTTGCCCTTCTTCTGCCTTTGGTTCTGTTCAGGCTTTCTAGGGCTTGGGTGATGCCTGCCCACATTGGGGAAGGTCACCTGCTTTATTCAGTTCAACGATTCAACAATTCTTTATTCAGTTCAACAGTTCTCTCAGGAACATACTCATACACACAGAAATAAAGTTTTGCCAGCTATCAGGGCATCCCTGGTCAAGCTGACACATAAAATTAACCATCCTGAATGTCAATTATTTCTCAATTAAAAAATAACCATTGCACGGGGTAATACAAAATTTAATACAGTAATAAACCTAACTAAATTACATATGAATAACATAACCACACTGAAGGGAGCGAGGAAGAAAGATAAAGAGTGCAAATAATTTTGGAAGACAGTGTTTGACTATATACTATGAGACTGAAGGCATGAATGACTGTACAGAGATATTTCACAATCCCTAGGAACTTAGTATATTTTTTTCCCCACAATTCTGAAGATTATTTATGTCCATAAGAGGACTGAGATTTAATAAAAGATATTGTGGATAACGAGAGTCAGAGAAGGAAATTACTAGTAAGGATGGGAGAAAGGTAAAATAAGACTTGTTGTGTTGGATTAGAACAGAAGATATACAAGCATGGGCTCATGGCTTTTAATACACGTGCAGATGGGGAGGTAGGGAGATGGATATGGGTATGTTTGTGTGTGTACAAACCTCTGCTGTCTAGTTCTGTCCACTGAGAGGGCCTAGGAGCCATGACAGCCTGGTAGAAATGACTGCACTTGCACCCGCATGTTATTTATGAATACCGTTCTCCAGTGAAAAGAACTAGGGCTCCCTAGTGAAGCTCTCAATTCAGGGGCCAGAGCAGGGCAGGTAGAAGAAGAATTTGAAACCATGTTGTGCCACAAAGCAAGAAAGTGCTCAAAAACTGATGGGACCATGTGGAAGGGGCAAAGGAGCCAACATGAAGAAGATCCTACTGGCTAATTCTAGGCCAACAGTGAGTTAAGCTCATAGAATATAATAAATATCAGTGAGTCCATACTAATAAATAAATAATTGAATTGGATACGTAAACGCAAGAGAAGGGACAGCACGATGGAATGGGGCAAAGATGGAAATACAAAACTCACCATTTTGCAAAGACCTCAGTAATAACTGTTTCAGGCAAGAATCATCAATGGATGCTAAAATTATTGGGCTTAAAAGCAGGATGAGAAATAAGATACTCGCATAGCCTCAAAGTGTCCTTCATCGTGGAACACATTAATTACAAAGGGGAAAAGAGCAGCTTTGAAGTGGAGAAACCTGGAAGACAGCACTTAACCAAGTTGTCAAGGTTAGTGTCACCAGCAACGAGACTTAACAACATCACATGCTACTAATTATTAGAGAAATGCAAATCAAAACTACAGTGAGGTACCACTTCACGCCAGTCAGAATGGCTGTTATCAAAAAGTCTACAAATAATAAACACTGGAGAGGGTGTGGAGGAAAGGGAACCCTCCTACACTGTTGTTAGGAATGCAAATTAGTGCAGCCACTATGGAGAACAGTATGGAGGTTCCTTAAAGAACTAAAAATAGAGCCACCATATCCCACTCCTGGGTGTATATCTGGAGAAAACCATAATTCAAAAAGATACATGCACCTCTATGTTCATAGCAGCACTATTTACAATAGCCAAGACGTGGAAGTAACCTAAATGTCCATCGACAGATGAATGAATAAAGAAGATGTAGTTGGGAATTCCCTGGCAGTCCAGTGGTGAGGACTCCATGCGTCCACTTCACAGGGCATGGGTTCGATCCCTGGTCCGGGAACTAATATCCCACATGCCACGCAGTGCAGCCAAAAGAAAAAAAAGAAGACGACGATGATGATGTGGTATATGTATGTATACAAATGGAATACACAAAAAATAATGAAATAATGCCATTTGCAGCAACATGGATGGACCTAGAGATGATCACAGTAAGTGAAGTGAGCCAGACAAAGACAAGTATCATATGATATCACTTATATGTGGAACCTTAAAAAATGATACATATGAACTTATTTCCAAAACAGAACTTACAGACTTCGAAAACAGACTTACGGTTATCAAAAGGGAAAGGTGGTGGGGAGGGATAAATTAGGAATTTGGGAGAAACATATACACACTACTATATATAAAATAGATAAACAACAAGGACGTACTGTATAGCACAGGGAATTTTACTCAATATTTTGTAATAACCTACATGGGAAAAGAATCTGAAAAGTATCGTGTGTGTGTGTGTGTGTGTATGTATGTGTATATATATATATATATATATATATATATATATACTGAAAAGTGATTCACTGAATCACTTTGCTGTATGCCTGAAACTAACAAATAGTAAATCAACTCTACTTCAATAAAACATTAATTAATTTAAAAAAAAGATAACCCTGGGAAGGTTACAACATCACTTCTGAGGTCTTATTGCCAAAAATACATGACCTCCATCTAATGTTAACAAACACCAGACATCCAAACTGAAGGTCATTTTACAAAATAACTGGCTAGTACTCTTCAAAAGTGTTGAGGTCATGAGAATGACCGATGGAGGAATTGTTCCAGACTAGAAGAAACTAAGGAGACATTACTATTAAATGCAATGTGGGAACATTGACTGATCTTAAACCAGAAAAAGGATATGAATGGGACAGTGGAGGAATTTTAATAACATTTGTGGATTAGTTTTAAATAGTATTACATCAATGTTAATTTCCTGGTTTAGATAATTATGTTATGGTTTAAAAAATCTTGCTTCTCTGCTTGTAAATAATAATCCACTTAAACCCACAATATTGTATCAATCATTCAGGAGTTACCTAGTATCTGGGTGAAGAAGAACCATATCTGATTTTGGAACCAACAGTTTCCGAGTTAAGATGGAGACAAAAATGACTATAAATACAACCACAAAAATGGTTCGCCTACAAATTATCTTTTTTTCGTAGTTTCTTCCTTATCTTACAGAATCTCCTAAAATATATATCAAATTTTCCCAGAAAAAGCACACATAAGTTTCAGTACATATCCTGGGGTCAGTTTCTGGGCTTTGTATGCTGGTCCATAGATAAGCATCACACTTCTTTGGCCAGTAACAAAGAAGAGTCATTTTGAGAATATTGTTGGTGATTCTCATCTGATTCTTCGTCTATTTAACGCTTGCAGACTTTGGTTAAGACGGGCTTACCGCTGATGAGCCAGAGATGCTGAGCTTCTGATTGGACGCAGGCCCTACGTTTATCAAATCATTACTATGTGCCAGAAACTGTCTAAGTACTTTTTGTGTATTGGCTTCTTTAATATTCATAATACTAAATGGCTTAGATACTGTTATTTTCCTTTTTTTTTTTAGCAGATAAAGAAGCTGATTCACAGAGAACGTAAGAATCATGATGTCTAAAGCCACACAGTTATGTATTGATGTTGCTGTAACTGGTAGCTAGGGTACCCAACTCCGTGGCCTGCTCTCTTGACTTTTATTAAGTGTCTGAGAGAAAGGGCTTATTACAACATTCCTGCCCTTCCATCTTGGAACACGGGCTCTGTGGGAGCTCACAGGCAGGGCCAGTCCGTTCCCTTTCTTTGTCATCACTGTAGTCATTCTCTGTTGTCAACATAATCTCCTTTTCTCTAAGGGTATTCTTTCTGCCATATGGACAGGCAGACAGGAGCCTCCCAGGGCCGT